GGGAGGTAGTTGGTGCTCTAGGTATTTGGGGCGAAGTGCACACGGGGATCAGTCAATTTCATCAGTTTTAAAGTGGTCGACATTTATAAGTAGCACGAGGAATGGTACCATCTTCCAGTTTTGATGGCAAACAACGGACATTCGCTTTTATCACAAATCCAATTCCAAGTGACACCATTGCATATCAAATCTGGTCCTAGCGGTGGCCCTCGTCTGATAGTTAAGGCGCTTGATGGGAATTCATGTTCACTTTCAAGAGCATAACCAATATAATCCAAGATATTTGTAGTCGACATTATCTATGCGCTGTGCATCTATCATCCTATCTGATCCCACTACGCAGCAGACACAAATTCTTTAGTGTCCCTTTTATCACCTAGTATTTCTTAAAATCAGTGCCAAGTTTTCACCGATAAGTATTTAAAACTAATTTGTTGTTTCAATAATGAAATTGGCATTCTCAAACTAAAGAAGATGCAATCTATCATTATCATATGACACAATATTTTAGTGTTTGATTGAAGTTGTGACGAAGACTATGGTTAGCGTATGGCGCACCACCACTTCCCTGAAGTCGGAAGAAGACGTAGTAAAAGAAGAGAATATGTATTGTCTGCGCACAGGTGGGTTAAGAGACTATCGGCATAGGGGAGCGGCAGTGTCGCTGGACGGAAATACAGTGGTCACAACCCGCAATACCCTTGAAAATTGTACGGAAAGTTAAATGAGCAATTAAGGTATTACAAATCACCGATTAATATTGTTGACAAGTTTTTTGGTTATTTTGATCATTGGAATGCAGCACAATTTAGTGCACTTCCGTTTAACAAAATAAAGAAAAAAAGGATTTTCTAATACTCATTGAAATGGCATGCAGGTTTATATTGCACTTCGTGTGTTCTAACTTCCCTACTTATTTCAGTCTAGCTGGTATTCAGAAGAAAGTGGGCAGATTCACGATGACACTACAGTTTTATTAAAATGAGAGGAAAAATGTATGAGGTAGTTTAATTTGTTTTCTAAGAAGCATTCTATTTATCAAAAAAGAAAAACCAACAGCTTGTCTTAGGACCAAAATGTCTGTGGATGTATTTTTTCATTACTGCGTATGTATATTTACAAAGATGACTCAGAACACTCCACAATTAGGGTGGATCTATTTGACAGTGAACGCTTATTTCGCTGGTGTCTAGCTTTAAGCTTCAGCCGTAATCCATTTTGAGGTTTTCAGGGGCACCTTTGCTACAAACTACCGCGTTCCCATAAGTCTACCCTGGTTGACCGAACATTCAACATAGCGTTTTTGACAAGTTTGGAGTTAACAAATTTTACACAGTGGTACTATTTTCTTACGCAATTTGTGTCAGAAGGGAAGTTCCTTATATACCTCCGCCATTTTTCTACCACAATACCTTATTTTTTTTTTAAGTTCTGGAAGCTGATATAAGAGAGGGCTGTGAAAATTTAAGCACAGATATTTTTCTGCATCAAAGAAGCACTTCTGGTTAAGTTAACTTTAAACAACGCAGCAGGTGTAATTGTGAATTAAGGGAGTTTTCTCAGATGCTGTGTGGAATTATGGACTCCATCTTTTTCACAATGGCAGAAAAGGGTTGATATGATGCGTCAAGATGGCACTTTGAAAGTGTGCCTTTCTGTTCTGTTTAAGGGGTGCATTGCTAGCAAATATTGTAAGTTATTTTGTGCTGTAGAGAATAAATAACAGGTAATTTAATATAAAAGACAGATCAGCTAAGGAGAAGTGCGCAGCTTACAGGCTACATCAAGGCAAGCGTTTCTATAATGTGGCTCAGCACTTTGCTAATGTTGAAGAATTGATCTTGAACGCTTTTATGGATCACACCCACACCTGGGTTTCCGAGCATATGTGGATGTCTTTCGCCACAATCGAAGAAACCAGAGCTCAAATGCACACAGATACGAATTTACTTGAATATTACTATATTTATTTGGCTAAATACATGTTTTTCGTTCGCCTAAGGGGGAGTGACGTATGAACAAGATAAATGGGCTTGACGCTCCTTCCTGAATTTGTGGTAGATATGCTGGTTCCCTGAGTCAGTGCCGCGGGTTCGGTAGACCATGCAACTGGACTGTTGCATTGCGCACAACATGTGAATCATCGTCATTGAATGCGCGATGTCATGGGTGTAATCCTACTTCATAACCCTAAATGCACTTGGTAATGTTTTCCTGACGTTTCTATTTCATCCCTAGTAGCTTCACTGGTATGCTAACAAACAAAGGCTGTTTTGGTTCTATAGGCACGAGTAGTGCTTGAGGATCGGATGTGATGCTAAAAGTGAAGTAAGAGAATATTACGGTAATTACTCGTGTCTCACGCAGGGCAAGAATTCATGAACTCGCTTGCGGTTCAGTGGTTGATAGCTTAGAAAGAATTGGGCAATGAATGGCTCTTGGGAGAAGATGAATGAAACAGTTGACGGGTGGATGGGTGGCTGGTACAAATGCAAGTTGTACGCTGTTCACTCACCTCGTGTGGATTGGAAACAGCTGTCACAAACACGCTGCATGTATTCCGCATCTACAGAGAGCATTACTGGTCTGCGTTTACTGCGCCAATCAGAAGTCTTCGTCCCACAGTCGTGCATTAGTTTGCCACGCTACCTCATAAGACCAAGGCCTTATACACGTGCTTGATTAAATGATTGAACATACTTTGTTGAATAACATCCTAGTGAGATAGTACGAACTCGGTTCTGATCAAGTGTTTCCGTCTATAATCACTTTTAAAATGTACAGGCAAATTGTTTGCTATGGTATACTTTACTTTGGTGGCAAAGACTCAGTGATGCGTGGTTGTACAACATCTGATAAATCCGGTGAAGCTACCAATTAAGCGATGCTGGCAATATCTACGTAACTGCTTCCATCCTCACTTACTTTCCTGCCGAGTACGGGTCATTTTTATGCCCACCATTTTCACGTCTCTTTTGCAAGATCTGGGTGCGTCGCATGAGGTCATCGAAAACGCCATACTCTGTTAGGATGACCGCGTCTGCTTTCTGGACGAGATCTTGACATGTGAGAAAGCCTCTCAGGGAAAGAAACAGCGTTTTGATGAAAGGGATGGTTTGTCCGCCATGAATGACCGGAAGTAGGTGACTTACCCAAGCAAATAGTCATGTGGCATTGCGAATGCAAGCAAATCGCCCTTTCAGCATGCTCGGCTGTGAATCGATGTAACTACTGGAATTTTAGCAGTAGAGTCGCATACTAATCTGTCGACATTAACCGTCATCATTGCGTTTTTCAAATTACAGTGTTTTTTTTTCAGATGAATTCACACTCAGCAACAGTATTCTGCTACCACAAGTAGAAGAGCCAAATTTGTTCTAACAATGAAGGTGCTGTTATGTGGGAAGTGGCTTGTTTTATTTTAGCTGCATTGTATTTTGCGAATGACGTGATCAGTCGTGTCTGCTCAACCGGCTCTGCAGCATTACTGAACTTTTGAAAAGAATTTGCAACTCCTTGTCTTCAGTGTGCTGAAAAGAGTGTAAAGACGGTCTCAACCTATATTAGCGTAGAATATTGCATGAATCTTCCGGAAGTTGAATCGCGCTACCTTCAGGTAGCACACATCTTACCACTGCCTTGATAAATGGCAGACCTGAAAATGTTAGTGGAATCACTGTGACGATCTGCTCAATATCGGGTTCTGCACCTTTTAGAATGATGCAAGTACACAATATTTTGGGCATGTTTAAAGTCCCATGTAAGGTTACTTTAGACTTCCACTTCTATCACAGCCAGTTCATCCATCAAAATAGGGGTAAATCATTGCCACCATTTTAAGATCACTTAAGAAATGAGGAAGACGCGCTATTCCTTAACAACCCGAATCGACCAGATTGCATAGCTCAGAGAATTGCCTTGCAGGAGCGAAAAAGAGGGTAATTCAGATAATATGATTGAGGCAAGATCACCACGGGTGTCATACTCACGAAGCAACTTATTTTCCCCTCAAGTTAATTGTGCTCAACAGTTTTATATCACTTTAGCAAGAGTCCTACATCTGTCTCGCCTCATGCATACAACAAAGCACGGTAGATTACATAGCTGAATGACGAAGTGTTGAAGGGTAGTGAGTGGACTAGTGATGCAACAGACTTCAATTTTGGTTGCACAATGACGAAGGGAGAGAGGAATGCAATGAGCCTTGGTTACGCCACCAGGAGGTAGGCAATTTGTAGCATGTGACCGAATAACATGCAAATTGGTAGAACTCTAAGCTCGGAAACTTCCGACATACCACGCTACTACAGTCGTTAGCATCGATTCACCACTCGAAATGTGTGCTCGTCTGACGTGGCGTTGTAAATGAATGCTTGAGTAACTCCGCTCTGTGAGTACTTG